AAAATTTTCTGAAAATTTTCTAAAATAAAAATCCGGAATATTTTCGGAATATAATAATAATATTTTTTTTATAGGGATTGATCAAGCAATAAAACGAGAATGTAATGAATGAAAAGAATGTAGTAATGGGAAGAAATGAAAAGCATTGCGTAATAATGGGTAATGAAGTAACAATCGACAAAAAATGTAGTAAATCAGGTTTCTCAATGTAGTCAGAAATGTGACGACTTTACTGCGAAAAAAATGAGGTAATTTCTTTGTCGATCATAGTGTGAAAAATTTTTGCGTAACACTGTCCCTCTAAAAGGAAAATAATCGGAATTTAAGCACGTTTGATAAAGTATACGCTGTAGATAAGTACGTATGTACTACAAATAACTTTTTAAGGCAAAAAATAGTTTCCGGTTATAAGATGTCGCAGTATGCAATTATTATGCATTATACGTATAAATAAGTGATGCCACGGGAATAGGCACTTAAATCATATAAAATTTATATGATAAGAGTGCCTTTTCCCTTGGCGTCACTCGAATGATAAACTGTGAAAAAAAATTATATCAGGTTGTTTGTTAAAGATTCTACATTTTAAAAATTAAATATGGGTTATATTAATTTCATAGCTTTCCTAGCGTCCCTATTCTATTAATAATTTACAATTATATAAATCCTAAAGCTCCAGACGCACTTAAAAATATTCACTCGATCACATTCTTTAGTTTAATATTATCGATAATTACGAATCAAGCAGGAAGTGATAAGCTTTTTTTACGCTTTAAAGAATATTTTGAAAAGGATGGCATTGTAAAGGTAAATTTACTGGCATTTAAATTGTAAAAATTAAGATTTCTAAAATAAATAAAATTCTATTATGTTTTTTTTATATTTATAGCTTTATTTTAGAGGAAAATGGATTTGCATGATAACTGATCCAGTAGTTGCTAAGGATTTATGCTTACGAACTGGTAGGTTGTGAATCATTCGATATCTTGTACATATTAAAAATTCTATTTACTGAAATGAGTTGCTTTAAATTATTTCATAGATGCTTATCCTAAGTTAATGTTCGATGAGGTTTTACCAAATTCTGCGGCTGAACGGTATTTTGGTGTTAATGTTGTTCACTCAAATGGTGATGTAAGTCTTATTTTGCCACTTTATTGTTTAAATTTTCTTTAACAAATTTTTCATTACATTTTGTTTTTTAGGTTTGGAAACGACACAGGTCTTTTTTTTTTACATCCCCATTCATTACAATATTGTTATTCATTCTAATATAAAATTTATTTAGACGTGTCTGTAACCCTGCCTTTAAAACTTTACCAATGCATCTTTTTGTTGAAATGGGATTAAAGTTGATGGATATTTTAGAAAAGGTCGATAATAAGCCTATTGAAACTACAACTCTCATGCAAAGGTAATAAAAAAATTACTAAAAATTCTTTACAGTCTTTTATATAATTTATATTAGTTCATTAAAATTTATTTATTCAAATTTCATAGATTTACTTTAGACGTTCTTGGAAAAGTTGCCTTTGATTTTGATTTTAATGTAAGAATAAACAAAACGATTCGTAAATATTAGTTAATTTGTAATTTTTTTAACAAAATTTCTAATTAGAATCTTGAAGACCCGAAGAATGTCTACGTAACAACATATAATGCCGTTCAAGATATGTTTAAAAGTTCTTTTTTTAGTATTTTCCAAATTGACAGTATTCCGGGCTTAAGACAATTAGCATTTAAAAAAATTGATAGATTAAATAATTTATTTGAGGAAATTATTAAGGAAAAACGTAAATCTATAGCTGCTGGACGATCTAATGGTGATCTTTTGGAATTGATGTTAAATGCTTGTGAAGATCCAGATAATCAAATGTTATCAGATGCTGAATTACGAGTAAGAGATTTTTAAACTTTTTATTTCTATAATCTAGAGCTTGGATTCACTATCTATTTTCATATTAAATTTACGAATTTCTGACTTGTATTCAATGGATAACGGATCCAAGTTCTACGATAATCTAAATAGTAAATTTAATTATAATATTTTGATTTTAATAGCATAATTTAGCCATTTTTATGCTTGCGGGACATGATACAAGTAAATATTGCATTAATTTTGAGAAAACAATTTATAATTTTATCCATACAATATAATGATTTTTTTTTTTTATAATTTTAGCTTCACTGGCTTTATCATCTCTTTTATATCTTTTAGCAATTCATAAAGTATAGTATATTCATTATTATTATTATATTTCTTAAACTATTAAATATTCATAGTTTATTTTGTAGGATGTTCAAGAAAAAGCTCGAAAAGAAGTTTTAACAATACTTGGTGATAATCTAACACCATCAATAGAACAGCATACATCATTAAAGTATTTGAATATGGTTATTCGTGAAAATCTTAGATCATATCCTCCAGTTAGTATGACCCAATATGCTTAAAATAAACAATTCAATCACTTATAATTTTATTTTTACGATTTAATAAATAGGTCGGAGCTTTACCATTACGTGTATTAGCTGAAGACTTAAAGTATAAGAATTTTTTTCTTCCGGCTGGCACTCCCGTTAGTCTCTTTATATATGGGATGCATCATTCTACAAAGCTTTGGGAAAATCCAGAGGAGTTTTTGCCTGAGAGGTTTGAAACTGAACATGAGAATTATTCTTGGATAGCTTTTGGTGGTGGATCTAGAATGTTGGTTGAATTTTTTACATTTGTCTTAATTTTTAACTTTTCGTTAATAACTAAATTTTTTTTTAAAAAATAGGTGCCTAGGAAATAGTTTTTCTCTTATTGAACAGAGGATAGTGTTGTGTTTGTTATGTATGTATTTTAATTTCAATTAAATGAATTTCTTTATTTAAATACAGTACTTATTTGTATAATATAAATTTTATAGTACGTAAATATGAAATATCATTGCCACAAAATAGCATACATAAAAACGAATTAAAATTCAAGAATCAAATGACTCTGTATCCAGTTGAGCTTGTTTTTAAAAGAAGGAATGAGTAGCTTTTATTTCGTTATTTATCCAATCTTTGCATAAATTTCAACTATTTTTATTTGGTTATTATACTATTTAAAGTAGCTAACTAAAAATTTTTTATCTCATATGTTTATTGTTGGTTAAAAAGATCTATATGAATAAAATTTGCAGTTGTTATTTGATATAAACATTAGTACTTGAAAACTTGGTAAAATGAAAGCTGCATTCTAATTAACACTTATGAAGAATATTTTTGCTTTCAATTTCTTTTGCAAAATTTAATATTTAAAAACTTATCAATATGTAAGATATGTCTTGATATATTGATAATGTTAATGTCAAAGTATTTCACATCGTAACAAAATGCCTTTTTGATTTGGTATTTTCTTTAGTAATAATTTATCTATTTTCAAATTGCTTTAAATCATGAACAATATTTATAAATACAATTCAATTAGCATGTATATTAACAATATATAATAGCATTACTACTAAGAAAGTAACGATAGTACATATTTGTTAATTTGACAGAATTTCACATCCCACTGAATTCATATGAAATTTACTTGACTATTATCGGGTTTAAATTCATGATAAATATAAAGAATTACTGAATCACTTTTAAGACTTTGATAAGGCTAGCTAAGTAATGGCACAAAATTTTGCAAACCCATGATTTTCGAAACTTCATTGCTTTTATCCAATCATATTTTATTGAAAAAGTTTAAAAATATAATAATAATTCGACAAATAATTTTAACAATCCATACTACAAGTCTGAGGTTTAGAATAACATACGGATTGTAGGCCCCACTTAAAACATGTTGAGTAAATAATTTCGACACGTACAATACCACAAGGAACTTTATAAAATTTATAGAAAAAACATTACTGGCATTAAATAAGAGGGGAAAAAATTAAATATTTATTACCGATTCATCGCTCATTTGGTGGATATTTAACAAAGTCTATCGATTCGGATATTTCACCTTCGAAAGCACGATTCAATTACAACACATCATTCTTTACGCCATGGGATTCCCTGACAAATGATTTAACATTTGAAAATACTCTTGTTCGATGGATTCGTTACTCTTTAATTGGGCTCATATCCATTTATCTTTTCATAGGTTGTGAACCATTCTCTACTTGGATCAACGATAGAAATAAATCATAAGCATTGTCATCCAGGTTCGGAGACTAACTTGTGAGATTTGTTGTAATTTGGAGTGATTAGTTTTATATTCAATGAGTGCTGCATGAAGTTTATCGAGGTTTTCAGCAATTTGATATGCACCAGTTTATTGCTAACATCTAAGAATACGTTTAATATGTGTTACGTTTAATATATGTGATTGAGATAGTTTTTCGAGGAATTCGTTTAGTTTTAGGGTCTATTTTTAAGTTAAAAAGAATAAGAATAGAATAATAATAATAATTAATAATTAGTATATAACTAATTTAAACAATAGATTTAACAATTGACAAAAAGATAAATAAATAGTGCAGATCATGATCAATTTTAATATTAAACTAGCATGCCTCGCGTTGTTTACGCAACGCGCTTAGAGTTTAAATTTTATAGCATTTAGTGACTAAATATAAGTAAATAAAATAGATAAGATTATA